TTGACGACACTTCTTGTTCCATATTTTTGTATGTAAAACATCGCCAAGTCAAAACAATCTTTTTCATTCTTCTTGATTTCCAAAACATATGTAAAAAATAAAAGAAGAGATTAAAGCTCTAACAACCAAAACTTAGAACAAACAATTCTCTCGAGTGAACCGCTAATGTAAATGAGAGCATGAAAGCAGTAATTAAGCGGCGATCAAAGTAGAATATAAGTCATACATTAACTAAACAATGGGAAAAAAAAATACATGATAAACCAAAGACTGGATCAAAAGCCTACAATATTGTACTTAAGTACTTATTAAATTCAAATCAAGATCTTACATAACAAGCTTCAGATTCTCGACATGATTTATAAAGGTGTAAATGGTTTGACCTTTACGAAGTTCAATCCCTTGGATTTCAACTCTTCTGATAGAGTTCTTCTCCGTATTTAAGTTAAAAATATAGAAAGGTAGACATGACGCGTGGAGAAAACACAACTTTATTTGTACCAATCGTCCCAACAATGTAAACCTCAGTCTTCGCAACTAGATCTTTCCACAATGGTAGTAATATGTGAATATGCCTTGACCATTTATGTTCTTTAATGTCATTAGAACCCATATCTCAAAACTTGTAGCTCTTCCATCCATAAAACCATATGAGTTAGATTGAAGGGCGCCTAATTTGCCTTTGGAATTTATCAGAGTTGAAAAATACCCTAAATCATTGATAGCTTCGCTAATAATAAAGTTAAACTTCTCGGACCTAACATCGAAGCAAATTATCATAGATGTTTCCAGTGACCCCTTATCCTTAGCTATATACTATAAAACTCCATTGATGCATATCTCATTATCTTGTGGATAATGGGATACAAAACATTCAATTGTTCTCCATTCCAAATTTCTTGTTCCTAATGTAAGAACATGATGTTCTTCAACTTCATAAATAAAAGGCCTTAGACATATTGTCATGCACAATACCTTATATTCTTTTTTCGATTGGATCATATCCAGTATAGGTTATAACCTGACTCTTCCTCGTTCTCACTTTGGGTAAAGGCGTGAATCTTCGTGTGCTAGGGTTACATATCACCATCTCTTCCATCCTTCCACTTAAAACCCAATCATCTTTGGTGCATAGCAATCCAAAGGCAGGGACACAAATCCTAAAGGAATAATCTCTAGGAACATGTATATGATTATCGACAACTATAGTAGAGGAGTTATATGGTCTGAAATCAGAGATTGAGGTGATGATAAGATGGACCATTTACCCTCAGACTGGAAAGTGAAAAGGAGACGCGGACGAGCAGGAGACATCATCAAGAACATATCGGTAAAATATGGATGACTAAAAATGAAAGCCCAGTCTTTTGACACGCAGTGAAACCTTGCTATGGATTTTGCAGGCCATCTCAAGAGTATTGCATCCATGAGATCAATTGGTATCCGACCCGAGTTTTCTCCAAATCCATTTGTCAACAATGTCGAAGGGATGGTCAGGTGAACCTCTTTCTTTGAGACGTGACGCTTCTGTTTTTTCATGGCAGGCTTTACACTTAGCTAATAAACAAACACAACATCTACATATGGTTATGTTCTTCAAAGATCATATATAGATGTCTTTGATGTCCAAAAAAAGAAAATGTATATATGTGTAACATCTTTTTTATATATATATTAAATTTTCCATCGCAATCTTTTATTTCCGCGCTTTTATGTTTTTGAATAATTATTTTTTATGGTTATTTTTTTATGGCATTGATTATGGTATGTTTATTTTGGTAAAATACTAAAAGAAAAATGTATGAATTATAGGATCTTAGAAAGAAGTATCAATTAACACATTATTTTAAATCAATATGTCATTTGATCTAGATTTTTATTCGACTAGCTTCCAAAAAATATCACCTTTAGACTTAGTCAA